CATGTGGCTGTACATCAGTGGTCCTCAAACTTTTTAAACAGAGGGCCAGGTCACAATTCCTCAAACGGTTGGGAGGGCTGGATTATAATTTTTTTTAAATGAATGAATTCCTACGCACACTGCACATATCTTATTTGTAGTGCAAAAACACTTAAAAACAATACAATAATTAAAATTAAGAACAATTTTAACAAATATAAACTTACTAGTATTTCAATGGGAAGTGTGGGCCTACTTTTGGCTGATGAGATAAGATTGTTGTTGTTGTTATTCTTGTGTGCTTTCAAGTCATTTCAGACTTAGGTTAACCCTGAGCGAGGACCGGGTAAATGACCTTGGAGGGCCATATCAGCCCCCAGGTCTTAGTTTGAGGACCTCTTCTGAAGAGAGACTGAAGATCTGTGACGTGCCAGGAATCCAAGTGTAGCGCCCAGCACAAATCCATGCCTCCTACAATTTCCCCAATCATATCTCCCTTCAGTCTCACACCTCTGTGTCTTGTTCATTCACTACTTTTATGGTGTAAGCTGTGCATTTGGAAAGAGAACACAGAGCTGAGAGTCTGAGGATATAAGGATATTTGGTGAGAGGGCACAGGAGATCTCTGGGGCCTGCAAACCACATGCTTCTGCTTTTTGAGAAGGAGCACTACCCAGAAGAAAACTATTGAGAAGGAGCACCACAGTTGCCACCTTAAAGACAACAACAACACAACAACAGCAAAGTATTTTGAAACATTTCCAATTTTTGCATCAAGAATGTTCATTCTGCAATTATGACTATTGAAAACACTAAATAAATAATTTGAAGAAAACGGCACTCTCTAACTTGATGCCTTCCTAAGGCATACTTTTGTATTAAGTATGCTTAATGCAAAAGTACTGGGTCAAAGGCGAGTCAGATTCAGTAGAAGTTTTCTGGTGGAGTCAGGAAAATAATTCTCAAAGCATGTTAAGTGGGACAGAGAGTTTTGTCAATGAAGCTGTGACCTAATAAAATGAGAGAGGAGAAACTTGATCAGAGCACAATGGCATTATTAACAAAGACATACCTATATATGTGATTTAGTCTTCATGGACAAATGTCCACCTCTTTACAATGATCTTTGATAATAGAAAGCTTTAGAACAGGCATGGGCCCTCCAGGTGTTGTGGGAGTTGTTAGAAATTGTGGGAGTCCAAAACACCTGGAGAGCCGAATTGTCTTCTAATGTGTGCAGAGTAAAGCTCCCCAACTACACCTCCTGAAATGAGAAGTGGGGTTTTTTTGTTGTTTTTTGTCATGTCAGGAGCAACTTGAGAAACTGCAAGTTGCTTCTGGTGTGAGAGAATTGGCTGTCTGCAAGGACGTTGCCCAGGGGACGCCTGGATGTTTTGATGTTTTTATCATCCTTGTGGGAGGCTTCTCTCATGTCCCCGCATGAGGAGCTGGAGCTGATAGAGGGAGCTCATCCGCCTCTCCCCGGATTTGAACCTGTGACCTGTCAGTCTTCAGTCCTGCCGCAACAGGGGTTTAACCAACTGCGCCACCGGGGGCTAGAAGTGAAAGGGAGAGAAAGATATCCTTTATTGAAACATAAGGAAATGGTTGAAAAGGGGTATCAAGAAGAAGAAAAATGCAAGTTAGAAATATCAAAAGCCAGAACATGCATCCAAGACTTTTGTTAGGTACAATTCTTTTAAGTATTTGCAAAACAAATTCAAAAATAAAAGGTATGTGGGCAAAAATGTAAAAGAAAATGCCAGATGGAGAAGATAATTATCTATTTACTGTATTTATACCCCACCCTTCTCAACCCGAAGGGGACTCAGAGCAACTTACAAACAGGCATATACATACATAAACATTAAAACCACAAAGTTAAAAACATTTCAATCTTAAAACAAATTAATTAAAAACCATGTAATCTAAAGACATAGATCAAGATCCATTCTAGTCGTAAATTGCATTATTCCATATTTACTTATTGCACTGAAAATTACTGTTCAAAGGTTTGGTCTCACACCCACGTTTTTAATTTCTTTCTGACGGTCAGGAGGAAGGGAGCTGTTCTAATTCCACTGGGGAGAGAGTTCCATAGCCGAGGGCCTACCACTGACAAGGCTCTGTCTCTCATCCCCACGAGTCGTGTCTGTGAAGGAAGTGGGACTGAGAGCAGAGCCCCCCCAGAAGATCGTAACCTCCAAGATGGTTCATAGAGGGAGATATGTTCGTACAGGTAAGCTAGGCCGGAACCGTATAAGGCTTTATAGGCTAAAGCCAGCACTTTGAATTGTGCTCAGTAACAAGTTACGTGCTCCCTGTACCCCACTCCAGTGAGGAATCTGGCTGCTGCTTGTTGGACCACTTGAAGCTTCTGAACAGGTTTCAAAGGCAACCCCACGTAAAACATGTTCCAGTAGTAGATTTGGGATGTAACAAGAGCATGGACCACCATGACCAAATCTGACATCTCAAGGTATGGGTACAACTGGGTGCACAAGTTTTAATTATGCAAAAACTCCCCTGGCTACCACTGACATCCAGGGTTCCAGGCTCAGCGACAAATCCAGGATCACTCCCAAGCTACGAACTTCTGTCTTCAGGGGGAATGTAACCCCATCCAGGACAGGCTGTAACCCTATACCCTGTTTGGCCTTTTGACTGACCAAGAGTTGCTCTGTCTTGTCTGGATTCAGTATCTCTGTGTTGAACCTCACAATGCTTGGCCCAACACAGCCCCATTCTCTCCCATTCCCTCTAGCATTTGGACAACACAGACATCTAACTTCAAGGAATCATTGGAAAATGACTCATAAAGGACAAAGTATATTAAAATAGCAAGCAGTGCTATCTTCAGCTTATCAGATGGTGAAAGAAGCAAGAAACTTGCTTTTCTTTCTATGACACAGATTATCTAAACTGAGCCGCTCTGGCACGCAAACAGAAAGAGGATATTCACTTAAATTCTTCCTGACCTCAGGGGAATACTTAAAAAGAGAAGTCATAAGTACAGTTTTGCTACAACATGCCTAGAGCAGATGTAATTTGTTTAAGAAAATAAATTCCATTCCTTCAAGTTTGCGTGGGGCCCTCCACTTACCTGAGAATTTTTAAAGCAATAATATAATTATAAGGATGTTTAGAATGTACATCATTCCAAATCCCTGTGTTTACTATGTCTCCCAATATGACCTAATTAGAACTCATAAAGAATACCCAGTTGCGTTTTTCTAGGGATGTACCTGCCATCCTTTTACTGGCTCAACCAATATTTTAAAGCAGGGGTCTTCAAACTAAGGTCCAGGGGCCGGATACGGCCCTCCAAGGTCATTTACCTAGCCCTCGCTCAGGGTCAACCTAAGTCTGAAACTACTTGAAAGCACACAACAACAACAACAACAACAACCGTATCTCATCAGCCAAAAGCAGGGCCACACGTCCCATTGAAATACTAATGAGTTTATATTTGTTAAAATTGTTCTTCATTTTAATTATTGTATTGTTTTAAGTGTTTTTTGCACTACAAATAAGATATGTGCAGTGTGCATAGGAATTCATTCATTTTTTTTTCAAATTATAATCCGGCCCTCCAACAGTTTGAGGGACTGTGACCTGGCCCTCTGTTTAAAAAGTTTGAGGACCCCTGTTTTAAAGCCTCCCCAGCAGCCCTCCCAGAATGCCTCCCTCCATTATTATAAGGGCCTCGGTGTGCAGGGGGTTTTCCGGGTTGTATTAAAAACTCTAAAATCAGGGCAGTAAATAAAGAACAACACAAAAGGGGGGGGAATTCCAGACAGGAAACAATCAGGGCCAGCTAACACCTCCCAACAAAGGATTCCTCCAGGCAGGATGGAACCAGTCTTTGAAGTTCTAAGGTCATTCAATGCTAATCAAGGTGGGCAATTACTACATTCACACCTGCCTCAAACAGACCAGCACCTCCATGGACACCTTGGTTGCAGATGACAGAAATGCGGAGGAAAGGTGGGCAGAGAAAAAGGCTAGAAGGTTAAGCAAGCCCAATGGGAAATACAATGGGGATGATGGTGCCCATTTCCTCTCTCTGGCCTTCCCCAGGCCCAAAAGGGTCTGGTATATATTCATTGAATTTTCACATTCGAAAGGATTTCCCCCTGCCAAATCTTGTGATGTGAAGGTTCAACTGTACTGCAATTTTCCACTTCAACTGGCAAAAGCTCAACAACTTGAAATTTCCTAAGACTAACAGTAGACAGTAACAGTAAAAGAAAAAGACAGTCTACGGTGCAAAACCACATTAAACTATGCAACAATTTAAACAAGTTGAAACAGGCTCCAGAACTCTCTTTCTAGAGAAATTAGATTGGCAGCTTTCCTACTTTCCTTTTTTGGGCAACGGAAGACTTTTCAATGTCAACAGGCTTGTGATCAGTGACAATACTAGGCCTTTTTTATCTCAACAATGCACTGGATCCTGCTAATTGTTGTGCTGTTGTGCATGCATGTGTGTACACTTCGTGATGTATGTTTTGATCTGATTTTAACGTTTTCACCATTTCATCTCATTTCAACTTTTCAACTTAGCTTACTAATTTTTTAGCCATATGTTTATTTTTAATTTATTGTAAACTGCTCTGAATCCTGAACTGGAGGAAAGGTAGGTTTGATTATGATGATGGTGATGACGACATCATTTTAAACCTCAAAAAAATCAAAATAAAAAATGCAGTACCTTTTAAAAGGTATTTCCGCAATATTTTGCTGTCAGCTAAAGACCTGTCTGGTGGAAAGAGAGTCTGATCTAGATACCTTCTGTCTGCACATTACTTCATCCATAAGGAGAGAATCTGGTGATGTAATGACAGCCGTGAACCCTAAAGTGCAAGCTAATGAAATTTCCCTGAGGTAACTCAGCAAGAATTGTGTTGAAATGCATCTTTACAAAATACAGGACAACCAGCTTTCTTCCAGAAAGAGGGAAGTCGTTACTACCATGGAAATAATGAGGGAAGGGGGAAGAGGTAAAACTTATTTCCTACCAGTAATGGTGCCGGCATCTCTGTACTCCCTGTAGTCTGGCACATCATTTTCCACAGCTTCACTTACATAGTGCTCTTCATGAACGCCCGCCTTATAGGCTAGGTCTGCATGGTTGGTTTTCTCAGGAGAGGACACAGTGGCAGCCAAAGTGCAGTCGTTCAAAGCTGTGGCGTCCAGCTTGGCAGGTTTCAGAGGGAAGTGCCAACTGCCATCAGGGGGGCCAGTGATGGAGACTGGGGTCTGGCTGAGATAGACAATTCAGCCTTCTCTTGTTGCTGTTGCTGGCTTGAGAGATCTGCCAAAAAAAACCACACACACACATTATTTAATCCAGGAAAACATAATAGAGCCAATCAAAACAGATTTCTTAAGTAGTTTGTTCTTTGCCAGCAAATCCCAGGACACGTTTTGCAAATGAGCTAGACAGCTGGGAGTATATGCATTGGTCACTATTTATTCTTACATGCACTTTAATATCTGCATGTGAAAACAAAGCTGGAAAGATAATGGCAGAGAATAAATTCCAATGGTCACAGAAGTCATTACTTTCCAGTTCAGAAAATAAACACACAAGCAAACAAAGAAGCATATGAACTAGGAAAATTTCAAGAGGAAGGTTTATGGCAGTGTTTCTCAAACTTCCTAATGCCACGACCCCTTAATACAGCTCCTCATGTTGTGGTGACCCCAAACATAAAATTATTTTCATTGCTACTTCATAACTGCAATTTTGCTACTGTCAGGAATTGTAATGTAAATATCTGATATCTAGAATATATTATCATTCACTGGACCAACTTTAGCACAAATATCCGATTGATTTTGTCATTTGGGAGTTGTAGTTGCTAGGATTTATAGTTACTAGCCGTCCCCTGCCATGTATTGCTGTGGCCCAGTCTGGTGATCTGGAAAATAAAGTAATGAGAAAGTGTTGGTTTCTAATATATGTAATGTCTTTATGCTTGTGGGTAAACAGTATTTGATCACGTTTTCTTGCCCTGGTGAAGGAAGTTGGACTGGATGGCCTTAAGTATTTTCTATTGGTCATAGGGGTTCTGTGTGGGAAGTTTGCCCCAGTTCTATCATTTGTGGGGTTCAGAATGCTCTTTGATTGTAGGTGAACTATAAATCCCAGTAACTACAACTCCCAAATGTCAAGGTCTATTTTCCCCAAGCTCCATCTGTGTTCCTAGTTGGGCATATGGAATTAGTGCCAAGTTTGGTCCAGATCCATCATTGTTTGAGTCCACAGTGCTCTCTGGATGTAGGTGTACTACAACTCCCAAACTCAAGGTCAATGCCCACCAAACTCTTTTGGTGTTTTCTGTTGGTCGTGGGAGTTCTGTGTGCCAAATTTGGTCCAGTTCCATCTTTGGTGGTGGTCAAGTCATCCCTGGTCAAAAAAGGGTTAGGAACCACTCCTCTAAATTAAGGCTTTGCTCGTAAATTGCCATAGCATGGACATAGACAAAATTACCAGTCACCTGAAACAATATAAAAAGTTGCTCTTCCAACAAACACCTAGAACCTTGAACAAATATTTTTAATGTAATTTCCAGAGTCTCCCAGATCAAGCATGATGATTTGACCATGCTGGCTGAATTACTTTTATTTCTGCTACTCTGTGAGCACTATACATAGTGATGGACCAATAAAATCATATACTACAACTTTTATAAATCTCTATTGAATCATTAGTATCTATTACAAACTTGAGCAATACATATAAAGTGTAACTCTCACTCCACATTAGCATATAAAATTTGAAGCCATGCAGTTAAAATTCAGACTGAATGGTTAAGGTTCATTATGTTCTCAGTTTAACAGAATCTCTACCAAGCAAGTTCTGGGTTTAAAATGTCAGTCTTCCCAACAAGATCTCATGAATGGGGGGAGAAAATCATTTCCAATGTTTATATAGGTGGTATTTTGTTGTTAAAAATCAACACCAAAAATTTTGGTCTTAATCATGACCATCCTAATGCTGCTTACAGAATAGAGGTACATGCTAACTTCTCAAATATTGTTTTGTATTTTCTTTCAGAGAGATTATTATAGAAGTACCGTATTATAGGGACATACGTGTTTGAGGGATTTCCTTCAGTGTTTTCAATGTTTGAGACGGAATATATTTTTGTGTAAAGCTGATTTCAAAAATGAGCAATGACCCTTCATGTATTTTTTTCTCATGTAACATAGAGCTCATCCACAGCATACATTGATTTAGCTACATCTGATCCAGAAGCAGCTAAATCATAACATGATTCTGAATTGGAGATATTTTATTCAACTGCAGTTTCAAAATACAGTATTTATACAATATGCCCAGCAAAAATAATAATTGTAAAATGATATCTTTTTAAAATACTCATTAAGTTAAGATCTCCTAGCACGACACATGAAGAATATTGATAGAACAGAGCAGAATCGATCCTGACCCTTCTTTCCTCCCGAGTAGAAATCAATGACATGCTGGCAAACTCTTTGTCTCCCGAGTTCAGTTTTCCAATTGATCGTGTGGTTCCCTCTCTAATGAATAAATGACTGGATAAAGTCCAATGCAGGATAATAACTATACAGAGTTTAATATTAAAACCAATAAAGAAAGGGGTAGGCCCTTATTATTTTTTAAAAAATCAACACAAGTCATTTTTTTCACAATTCGAAAACCTAACTGGGCTGGGCTAGCACAGCGGTTCAAACCACCTGCTATAAAAGATCCTGCTGACCAGAAGGGTGGCAGTTCACACCCAGATTAGAGTGGGTTCCCACCGTCAGCCCATCTTCTGCTCACCTAGCAGTTTGAAAACAATAATGTAAGTAGATAAATAGGTACTGATTGGCAGGGAGGTAAAAGGCGCCCTGAAAAAACATGCCGGAAAAAAAGGAAAGGAGTCCATGGATGACAGGCTCTCCAGCGTGGAAAATGAAACAACAGCACGTCCCTATGGCTGAGTCGAGTACAACCAGATGCCGGAAATGAAAAGACAGAAGCCTGTCTCTGTTCTGTCCGTCTCTGTCAATTGTATAATGGCACTGAATGTTTGCCATATATGTACCTGTAATCTTCTCTGAGTCCCCTCATGGAGACAGCATGGAATATAAATAAAGTACTCTGATTTTGGAAATGCTAATTTTGAACAGTGTTGAGGATGCTTATAGCCACAATGGCTGGCAATCAAATTTCAGCTGACCTAACTTCCTTTCATTACAACATTCCGAAACTGAACAAACTTTTGAATATATAGTTCGCATCATAGGAATCACAACAGCACTACACAAAATGAAGTTCCATAAACTGCTGCTGGTCCCCAACTAATCTGCCACTTGTCCCTAGAGAGCTTCTAGGAAAGAGAGAAACAGTGCCAGCTAATGGATACAAATATAGTCCAAGGCCAGGCCTGCACAACAAATGGCCCAAGGGCCAGATGTGGCCCACAAAGCGCTTGTCTCTGGCCCATGAATGGGGCTTGGCTTCCTCTTCATTGGTTGACCCTTTCCCTCACTGCCTTCCTGATCAAGCACGGAGGGCGAGGGGAGGAGTGGCCAGGAAGGCAATATATATATTTGACCTTCACCACTAGCAAGTTGTGTAGGCCTGTTCCAGACTCTCACAAGCTGGGAAGGAAAAACTGCCATCCCCCATATCAAGATAGCTTTAAAGAGCATTGATTATAGACAGGCAACCTTCCACATTTACTAGGGTTAAGGGTACACCCCTCCCCGCAAAACTAGAAAAGTCATGGAGAAAAAACAATAGATCCTTCAGTGCAGCTCAATGCTAGAGAAATTATACTAATCAAATACATGAAAAATCAAATCTACAGAAGTCAAACCTGCAAATGTTGACCGTTCCATCACTTGTAGTGAGGTTCAGTACAACACATGGACTGTGACCTTGGCATAGAGTTTCCTTACGTAACTGAACCTTCCTTCTGCTCATGTTAGATCTAGTTCATGATCTTTCTATGTCCAAGTTTTGGCCAGTTTTCCTTTTGACTATTGCCCAACCTGAAAAATTCGTAAGAACAACCCATAGAGCAAAAGCTGGTGTACGATAGCAGGTGAGCAGACAGCTAGTACTATAAAACCTTTCAGCCTCAGTTCCTGCATCTGCAATATGGGGTACTGTATCAACCAACCTTATAGTCCAAAGAAGTCTAGCCATTCATAAAAATGTTGTTCCCTCCCATAGTTCACATCTGGCGTGTGGTACTTCCAAGGCACTCGCAGTATCTTAGAAGCAATAAATCAGCCCGACAAGCTTCTGCTCTCCTCTCCCACTCTAAGAGCGGAAAGAAACTTTGGGTCTCAGTGTGTTGATCACAAGGTAGCAAAATATTCATTATGATTTGTAGATACAACAGAACCATCAACCTCTTTGTTATTTATATTATTGTCAGCAACTGCAGCAATTGTTACATGATTTTAAATTTGAACTGATTTTTGAAATGTTTGATTTATTGAAATGGCAAGATGTGTATTTAAAATAGCAGCCAAAGATTGATGGGGATTCATTTGGGCCTGCATGTAACTTTAGTGGACAAGATTTCCTTGCGATGTCAACTCAGAAGCAAAATTATGCTTATCTTTTTATTTTAAAATATGCTGCATGGGAAGAGGGCAATTTGCCATATTTTGCAAAGGGAAATCTGGGAAATTGTATACCAGCAGAGTCCTTTTTCTTATAATGATGTAAACTACAAAGTCAAATTTAAAAGCAGAAGCTATCTGTTAGATCAGCGTTTCTCAACCTGGAGGTTGGGACCCCTGTGGGGTCTCCAAAAATCATCAGAAAACACAGTATTTTCTGTTGGTCATGGGAGCTCCAGATCCATCATTGTTTGAGTCCACAGTGCTCTTTGGATGTAAGTGAAATACAACTCAGCAATGCCTACCAAACCCTTCCAGTATTTTCTGTTGGTCATGGGAGTTCAGTGTGCCAAGTTTGGTTCAATTCCATCATTGGTGGAGTTCAGAATGCTCTTTGATTGAAGGTTAACTATAAATCCCAGTAACTACAACTTCCAAACGACAAAACCAATCCCCCCAACCCCACCAGTATTCAATTTTGAGCGTATCGGGTATTTGTGCCAAATTTGGTCCAGTGAATGAAAGTACATCCTGCATATCAGATATTTACATTACGGTTCAGAACGGTAGCAAAGTTACAGTTATGAAGTAGCAACAAAAATAATTTTATGGTTGGGGGTCACCACAACATGGGACTGTATTAAGGGGTTGC